AGCCTCTCACCTTGAAGAAGGCCACGGTGGAGCCGTCCCGGACGGCGCCGTACTCGATCCTGGTTTGCTTGGCCAGGTCGTCGGCCGAGCCGATGGGGGCCTCCATTCTCTCCACGGTCAGGAAGGCGGCCAGGTTGGCCGTGTAGGACGAGAGGACGACGAGGGCGAAGCACCACCAGCTGCCGGCGAGGATCCTGGTGGACAGCGCCTTGGGCACCAGCTCGGACCCTGGGCACCAGAGTGGGCGTCACAGCGTCAGGAGGAGGGAGGCGGGCTGGGCGGGTCGAGGGCTTAATGCGTTTTGTGGCATAAACGTCGTGAATTCATCAAGCACTTACCCTCACGTGTAGCTACAATTGATGCATTTTTTTTTTAAAGAAAATGGAGTGAAATCTAAGGAATCTTTTATCACAAAGCAGTGCTGCCGCCTGAAGTGTGATTTGCTGGCATCTGACGCATGAAGTGGTTTCCCCCGAGATAATCTGCCGCGACCATGCGCGGGGCGAGTGCAGGGCTTTGTTTTGGTTGAAAAGTCAACCCCTGACCTGGCTCCGGCTGCTCTAACAGACATGTCGTTGCGTGAAATAACACGTTCTAGGCCTCTTACAGCCACGAACGCTCCGAAATGCCAGCGGGTTTCCTTTTCAGGTTAAAGAGCTCGAGAACCTTTCGGAAGAGCGAGGTGCCAGGCCGCTGATCTGAGCGTGAACGAAACCTGGGGTTTTACGATCGAGTCAGAGAAGGGGCAGCCGGACCGGAGGGGAGAGGAAGCGCGTTTCATTGTCGGATGTTACTGTTCAAGTTGAAATTACTTTTCCTGATGGAGAGACTTATTTGCCTGAAAAGAATATATTCACTGAAAAGCATAATTTTCATCCTTGAATTAAATGCCATTTCTTAATTACACTTCAAAGACTGGCTGTTTCTCGGTGAAAGGGGCCCTTCCCCGTGAAAACATACATTTTAGAGTCACCGGGGGCTCCTCGTTGTCTGTGAGTAACACAGAGGCACCGGGTGTTCACCCAGAATGCCTTGCTCTCCCAAGACAGGGCGTGGGGACTGAGTTCGCTTACAAAGAGGACAAACATCTATGGAAATTCAGTGGCTGAGCATCGACCTGTGAAGCAGGAGGTCAGGGTTCGATCCCCGGTCAGGGCACAGGCCCGGGTTTCGGGCTCGAGCCCCAGTGTGGGACGGACGGACTGACAGCCACCAGCACCACACACCCGTCCGCGGGGCCCGTGTCGCCGGATGCTCTCAGCTTCTCGGAGAACAGGCAGCGTCTGGGGGCTGATGGTCATGGACCCGGGGTTTCGGGGAGCGGCAGACACTGCGCCCGCGTTTGCTGTGGGTGATGGTGGACTCCCAGGGAGAGCAGGCGGGAGGCGTGGGGGGCGGACGCTCTTGTAGGACAGAGGCGATCACGGGCATGTGTGCGCTGTGAGCCCGTCTGTATGGTCCATCCGATCCCGCAGGGCTCACCCCAGCACCGGCTCCTGGATGGGTTCTGGCCGACCCACTTGCCTACAGTTCACCGTCGGTTCTGCGCTTAGCGTTTCCTCCAAAACCCAGAGTCATCGTGTGCGCGCGCGCGCGCGTGCGACCATTTAAGCCCCGAGTTGAAGCGTCCCAGAGGGTTAGCCTAAGGCAGGCAGAGCCTCTGGGTTGGAGAATCCTCCCGCTGTGTGCGCGTCTCCACGCCTGGCAGTCGGCGCCGGAGAGAGGAGCCGGGAGCTGAGCTTGTAAGCTACACGCGTGTGGCCCTCGCGTCTCTCCTCGGGCACAGGCACTGCTCCCCTGGCCAGCAGCTCCGCTCAGTCAGCAGGTGGAGGTGGGCAGAGGCCCTGTGTTCCCCCTCCCTGACCCCCATCGTCACCTCCAGGCGTTATTCTCGTTCAGTGAAATAAGCGAACGCTTCCCGCCTGCGTTCCCTCCCTGTGTTTTTCTGTCTGGACCTGGGGCTGATAGTCCTCAGATTTGTAATCGTTTCCAGGACGTCGCCCCCCGGGACCTGGTGGAGCAGCTGCTGCTGTTGCTTGTGCCTGGTGGTTTGATGGGGTTTCTGTGCCCGGGGGTGGAGGGTGGGGGGTGGTGGGCCTCCTGCTTCGTATCTTTGCACTTAATTGACTTCCCAGCCCCGTGGCCGTGGGACAGGATGTTCGCTCTCCAGTGGGTTATCATTAAAATACCATTTCTTCCGTAAGGGTCGCCGTGGGAGTAACCGGGAGTTAATAAAGATGCTTTCTCAGCTTAGAGGTGGAGGTCTCCGGCTGCAAACGCACCCTCATGCTGTCTGGATGTGTTTATAGGGATCAGGCTTCACGTCCGTGACTTGCGTAACTGTGTGTAACTGTGTGACAACGGCTGACGTGCAATAAAATAGTATAAACTCACGTCGGTGACACTTAAAGTTCGCTGTGATACTTTGGGATAAAAAGTCTGGGAATTAAAAGCCATCGGTAGGAAACCACTCAGACTGAACCTAAACCCAGGAGGCGGCCAGGATGGCAATTTCTCCACATTCCATCGTGTCTGTTACTTTCACGCAATTTTGGGACGTTCACGGCGTCCACGTTCTCTGAGACCCTCGGCCGGGGCCTCCCTCCCGGGAGACGGAGTGTGAGCTCAGAGCCCGAGAGGACGGCGCTGGGAAAACAGCACCGGTCAGGGCAGCGTCCGTGGGAGGTGGGATGAGGGTGGGACGAGCGACGGCACCGCTGACCCCTCAGGCCTGTGACACGGACGCCACAGCCAGTCCCGCCCGACTCTCTGCGGGAAAGAGAGCGTCTGGGCGTCACAGTCAAAGGAAACGCATCGGACGGTTTCCGATCGGGGGCAGCGCCAGGCTCCTGCCCACGAGGGAGGGCGCGGTGGTCCAGTTGCTTCCCAAGAGGGCAGGGCCCCTCCTTTCCTACAGCGTTGGGGACGTCCAACTCCAGCCATAGACATGCACGTCCGTCACAACCACAGGGAGCCAGCCTCCTTCCAGGGCTTAGACCCCCCCCCCCCCACACAAACCA